GCAGAACAGCAGCCCAGAGCCACTGCCCAACTGTGTCCATTCTTAGCTCATGGGCCGTGCAAATGCAGGCCAGGGGATGGATGTGGCCTGCTGGCTGTGGTATGCCGACCCCTGAAGTGGACTGTCCCCTTGGCACCTGACTCAGGGCTGAGCCAAAAGAGGCAATTAGTAAACCTTCAGCAGTGAGTGTTCACACACTGGGGTTCTGAGCAAGATTCAATCTGAAAAAAGTTTCCCTAACTTAAGGAAACAAAAATGGAAAATCCCAGCACGAAATGATGAATTTGTAGATGATGCCCACTCTGAAATATGTTTGTAGGGTATGCTGTACTGCACAGTGCCCCCAAGAACATTTCATTGCATCAACTGGCTTCTGGGTTCAGGCTGTGGCTCCTAAGGGTGGGACCACATGCTAGATTTCCATGTAGCAGACATCCAGCTGAGGGCTTTGCACTAAAGAAACACTAGAAAAAAGCCTGGTGAGAGGGAGTACACGTAAGCCTTCAAGCCTTCTGAAAGGCTTCCAGGGAAGTTGAAACTCTAGCAATCAACACTATAGTAGAGGTTGAGCACCAGCGGTTCCTACCTGGCCCAGGGATGGGTTTAGTTTGGCCTACATTTTTTTTTCTTGAGACGGAGTCTTGCTCTGTTGCCCAGGCTGGGGTGCAGTGGCCAGATCTTAACTCACTGCAAGCTCCGCCTCCCGGGTTTACGCCATTCTCCTGCCTCAGCCTCCCGAGTAGCTGGGACTACAGGCACCCGCCACCTCGCCCGGCTAGTTGTTGTATTTTTTAGTGGAGATGGGGTTTCACTGTGTTAGCCAGGATGGTCTCGATCTCCTGACCTCGTGATCCACCCATCTCGGCCTCCCAAAGTGCTGGGATTACAGGCTTGAGCCACTGCGCCCGGCCGGCCTACATTTTTAAAAAGGAGAAACTGTTTTAAAAATTTGAGCTTACTTGAAAGTTGGGTGGTTCTGCACCAAAACCTGGATTTCTGGCTCATTAGGCATTCTCACTGGCAGTAATCCGTGGGAGCTGAGTTGGCCCTCTTTAGAAAGGTCATGTGCTCTTTAATTTGCTGTAGTCCTTACCACTCCCTAATGTCTAACATCTGGTCCTTGTTTCTCATCAGTATTAACTGGTTTCTGTAGGTGTCTGGGTTTGCCACTTCTTCTATAGAAGGATCCCCTTCTTCCCTGGGAGATAATATATTAAAGCCAGTACTCACAGGACTTAAAAAGATGTTATGAAACACCAAAGGAATTTAAACAAGCCTTTTGGAGACACTCATAAAAATATAACAGTGTGTGACTTTACACATTATCACTCTTTTCAGAGACCAGGTATTGATTAAGGAAATTGTTTTTTCTTAATATGAAGAAAAAATAAATGTGGAACAGATCTAAAGCAAATGTACACACAAAGTCCTTAAAATAAATCACTAACATTAAAATGATGGTGATTTCATTAAAAAATAAATACCATACTGGAGAAGGCAGACAGAACAAAGGACAAGGTGAATGGAAGTGAAGCAAGACCTTAAGGATCATTGACTGATGGGTTTGCTTGTTTTACCCTCAGGTCACTCACATCCTTTACTAATCGACAGGCACATGCATATTTCTGCGTAAACCAGGGATTGGTAAATGACAGATTGTGGACCATATCAGACCAACTGCCTGTTTCTGCAAACAAAGTTTTAATTGAAATACTATCACATCCTCTCAGCTGTGTATTGTCTATGGTGGTTTTTGTGCTACAAGGCAGAATTAAGTAGCTGCAACAGAGACCTGTGGCCTGCAAAACTGAAAAATATTTACTCTCTGGCCCTTAGCTGAAAAAGTTTGCTGATCTCTGGCTTAAACAATCATCACCACCATTTTTAGATTTGAATTGCTTGAAGTTCTGAAGGAAGTTTTTTTAGCTTTCAGAAGAAGCGGACCTTCTTACTGAGCTGAAGGTGATAAGGGAAAGCTCTGATTTACCAGTGTTGAGTTTCAGGAGGAGGTCTTTTTTTTTTTTTGGAGACAGTCTTGCTCTGTCATCCAGGCTGCAGTGCAGTGGCATGATCCTCTCACTGCATCCTCTGCCTTCCAGTCTCAAGTGATCTCCCACCTCAGCCTCCTGAGTGGCTGGACTACAGGCATAAGCCACTATGCCCTACTAATTGTTGTATTTTTTCTAGAGATGCGGTTTCACCATGTTGCCCAGGCTGATCATGAACTTCTGGATTTAAGCGATCCACCCTCCTTGGCCTCCCAAAGTCCTGGGACTACAGGAGTGAGCCACGGCACCCGGCCACCTGGAGGTCATTTTTAATGGCAGCTACTTGGGGACCAATAGCTTTAACATCCACAGATGAGAGCAAAGGAAAGGGCTATGGGGGGCCTCCTCAGAGTCACCAACATTGTGTGGCAACTGGGCTGCTGACAGCTCCATTTGTCAGTGACAGCGAGGGGGTCTCCACAGCCACACCACCTTTGGCATTAAGCATGATCATTAGCTCCACTTGGCAAATGAGTACGCGGGACTAAGACTTACCTGAGGACCCCGAGTGAATAAGGGACAGAGCCGACTGGGTTGATCTGACTCCCAAAGCCACTCTGCCAAGATTGTAGATGTTCTCAGATTTCTGTAGGGTGGAAGCTGAGGACCAACACACCTCATACCTGAAGTAGGGAGCCCCCAAAGTTTACCATCCATTTCTTCTCCCCTGTCTCTGGAATCTGGAACCTGACTCCAATGGCAAGAACTCATTTCTACTTACCTGCGGTGGTCCCAGTCCCTGCCTCTCTCCCATCTCTCAAACTGTAAATACTCCCAGCCTAAACTCTCAGCAGCCATATTTTTCAGGAATGTGGTCAAACAAATGTTTAAGAGGAACAGGCTGAGAATGCTACTTTGCCAGAGTCCATAGTCCAGAGGCTGAACATTCAAGCTTGAAAATCAATTCCAAGTCCACCACTTGTCTTTGTAGAAAACACACTGGTCCAAGCCACCATTACTACTGCCTCCTAAATGGGCTTCTTTCATCCATTCCTGCCTTCCTATATCATCTCCACGCAGAGGCCTGAGTGGTCTTTGAAAAAATCAATCAAGTAATGCTGTAGCCGAAATCTACCACTGGTGGCTCATTTCTAGTAGAACGAAATCCTCAGCATGGTCAACGAGTACCTTCCCAGAGCACCTCCATCAATCTCTAAATCCATCCCCTTCTCTCCCCCTCACTCTCTGGTCTAACCACACTGGCCTGACAGCTCCTCAACTAATCCAAATTAATTCCCCACTGTAGGGTCTCTGGACCTGCTGTTCCTGCAGCTCAGAATTCCCCTCCCTGGATCTTTGCATGGCTAGCTCCTTCTTACCACTTGGATCTCTGCTCAGAGGTCATCCTTGACCACTCAAAGCTATACTGTCCCTCCACTCCCCAACCGCAGCAATTAAGGCTACTTAAGGGTATGTATTTGTTTACTGGCATATTCTCAAGCTCCCCTACCAGAACGCAAACCCCAAGAGAAGTCTGTGTTGACCTATGTTCTACTCCCAAAGCCTAGCTTGGTGCCTCTTATACAGTGGGCATTCCATACATGTTTCTTCAGTATCTTCAAATGCAAGAAATTCAACTTTTTCAAAGTAATTCCTAGAGGGAATGTCACCGTTCATACAGAAACAGCTTCCCAAGTGGCCCCATATTTCCTTCACTCAGTTCCACCAAAGGCTACTCTGCACCTTTCCCCAAATCACAGCAAAAGTGATTAATACCCACAGGAGACCTCCACTTCAAAAAATTAGTTCATACTAGCTTTAAGAGGAAAGTAATTCAAAACATGAAAATTTATTCTAAGTTGTATCTTAACATACGAGATCTCAGCTTTAGATGAATTTTAATGTTTACAAGTGCAAAAGCAAATAAATATTTACCAGTTGCTTTTTTTTTGCACTCTTATAACTCCACAACAGCTTAGACGCAAAAAAAATTGTTGCTAAACATCTTGTAGTCTGGCAAAATGAAGAATTTCTTATTAAGAAAAGCCCTCACAACAATAACAACTCCTCATGCTTATGGCTCCCTTGCAGAAACTATCAGGATGGTTCATGAAGATTTGAGCATATGACAGAGCAACAGAATTGCCACCAGGAGGGGTAAGATGAGGATCTCATGCCCTGGCCTCACCGTCTATACACTGGCTCATTCCCACAGCAATGGGAGCTCTGGGGAGAGAGGGCTGTATTTCTTGGGCAAGGACCATGGGCTCTCCCCAAGCTGAAGCCTTTCATTCTGTAGATTTCCATGAACATGTCACTTCTCCAGAGTGGCCTTTCTTAGTTAAGGTAGGTCCCTATCCTCTCCGTAATTCTCTTGGACAGCATCCTGTTTATTTCTTCTATTACCATTTCACAATTGAAAACTTCAGTTAGCTAGTTTTCCAGGTTGCCAGTTAACTATCTAGCTTGCCCATTAACCATCTAGCTTGCCGATTAACCACCATCTAGCTTGCTGGCTTTCTAACGTTCCTGTTACCTAACTTCCGGGCACGCGCTTCAGCTAGCTGCTGTCTGTCATCTGTCTGCCTTCCCCTTTAAACTTTCTAGTCAGGGACCAGGCTCCCCTGGGACAGCACCCTGCCCAGTCCCTGGCACCAAACTAGCCATTTATAGATACATTATATAATGAATATGGAATGACATCTTAATAAACGTCTTAAGATCGATGGCTTTTTAAATTCATTTATATCATTGCCTGGTTGAAGTCCCTGAAGTTATTCTGAGGCAAGAAAACAAACATCAAAGAAAGACTTTCTCCAGCATAAGAGAGTAGGCTTTTGGAGTAAAACAGGGACACACATTCACACGTGCACACCTTTTCTATGACAGACATACGTGATTCTAAGAATATTAAGTACTTTCTGAAGCTTCACCTTCTACTCTCAATTTTGTGAAAAAGGGTAAGACTGTTCACAACAGCAGAAACCCTCAAAGGGGACCTGCGCCACTTACCTGGATTAACAGTGATAAATCTGCTGTCTTCAGAAAATCGGTCCCCGCGGGACACAGGCTTTTTAGATGGCATTTCGGGCCTCTTGGGATCACTCCCTGCATACTGCTCCTCTGTGGCGGTGGGGGGCACTTGGGTGGAGGTGACCGCGTCGGGGTCCGGGCCTGGGCCGGCATCCATCCTTCCACCTGTCTGGTCTGTGGGGATGGCAGTGTGGTCCTGCTCATGCCCAGGTATAGTATGATGTCCCCCCTCGGCAGTCCTGTTGGGAGACGAGGGTGTGGGGCTGGGCTCCGTCTGGTTCCGCTCCTCGGCAGCGTGGGTCACCCCACTCTTCTCCTTCTTTTCGGAGTCCTTCTCTCCATCCTCCTCATGCTCCCGCTCCCCATCCTCACTCTCACTTTTCTCATCCTTCTCTCCTTCCTCTGTGCCCTCGCTGTCCTTGGTTGGTGACGAATCACCATCTGGCCCTGGAGAAGCCAAGGCCTCTGTGGTGGCGAGGACTGGCCTAGCCGCCTGCTTGCTGGCTGAGGCGGCTGTCGGGAGGCGTGTGGGCCACACGGTGCTGGGGAAAGAGGAGATGCCACCACCGCCGAACCCCAGGCCGGCGAGGAGCGTGCTGGTGACCACCGAGGCCACTGTGGCCTGGCTGCCGCTGGAGGAGGGGCCCATCCCAGTTGCCATGGAAACAAATGAGAATGGGATGCCAGAGGACGTCCAGGTAGAAGACCCCGAGCTGATGGGGGCCATGTCGGCTGAAGAGGCAGGAGACGCTGTAGGCTGGGAAGGATCACCCGGCAAGGGTGGAAAAGAGGCAAAAGAAGAAAAAGCAGAGAAGCATCAGTAATTAAGATTGGGAATGAGGCCCTGGTTGTCATCCTCTGAGGATTTTACTCATCTATGCTATGGAGTTTTCCAAGGTATGGCATAAAGTTGACATTAGGTGGTCCATGGGTAATCAACTTTTATTTTAATGGTTTTATAATAATTGTGAACATGTGAAAAAGCATAACTAGTGAATCAGACTCAGCTTTTCACTGCTACTACCCAAGATGAGGCTGAGTGCCAAAAAAAGTGAGTAGTGTTAAAGCTGACTTACACAACAAAGAAGTCATGAATTGGAAAAATCAGATGGCCATCTGTTCTTGGGGTGATGAGAGGCAGAAGACCTTTGATTTTATGTGTATCACTGACACTTGAGGAGATACTCAGCTCTAGGTCTGGAAAGATACTGGGTGGCCAGTCCAACCCCACTGTCTCCCAGTGAGAAAGTGGGTGGACAAGGAGGGAAAGCAGCCTGCCCAGGTCTGCAGTGACAGGGTCAGAGGCAGGAGTCATGCTCTGCACTGTATGCTCTGGGCACTGGTTGACATCTCTGCATCTCCATGTTGGGCACTGCAGAGTCACTGTACCTTTCAGCTTCCAAGTTTACCCATGGGAAAATCTGAGCCCATACAGATGACAACAACATCAACAACAATAACAAGAATTCCAATTAACAAATGCCAACTGTGTGCCAGGGCTTCCCATGCTACTCTGGAGGCAGGCATGATCATCACCCCATTTTGCAGGTTAGGAAACTGAGACACAGAGATGTTAAGAAGGCACAAATGCAGGGCTGCCTGGGTCCAAGACTCGGCTCGTTCTTAGCACCATACTAAATCGGGGCTCAAATCTGGGGGTTTGACTCACATAAGGTATCTCAGGAAAACAAGAAGTGCTGCTCTGAGCTATTAGTCTAATTTTAGCTTGCCTTCTGGGTGATGCTGGACGCATTACTTTAACTCACTGAGCCTTGGTTTCCTAATCTGTAAAACGGGAATAACAGTAACACTGACCTTGTGGGCTGCCTGGAGAAGTAAATAAAATAATCTGTGCCTGAAACCTAGGAAGAGTTTAGTGAATTTTAGGCTATTATTATTATCACCACGGCTGTGATTAGTATTTTATTCATTATACCAGCCAGAGCTGGGGAAGCTAAGATATTAATTCTGGTTCCAGAAATTTTCAGATCCATGTAACTTTAGGCAAATGACAACCTCTGAATTTGAGTATATGTCAAATGAAAGGGTTGGAACAGATTTAACCCCTTTGTGGTCCTGCATTGTCTGATCCCACAAATCGTAACTAAAAATATGAAGAATTTTTACCTTCACAAAATTATACAATATAACCACCTAACACTGTTGCATAGCTTGTAAGGTATTGGATTATAAAAAGTGAATAATGTGATTTTTTCTCTACCATAACTGCTTTACATTGAGCAGTTTAACAACATTATACTGCCACCTCGTGGTGACAGTTTTAACTGCAATTAACAGCCACGACAAATCAATTTCCCATTCTCTACTTACCACTCCTGTTTTCACTATTCTGGTCCCTTGGAATATTCGAGTGGTATTAGCTGAGAAAGAAAGAAATTACATTTAAGCAATAAAACTTTTTTTTGTGGCTCTAACAAGACATTCCTCATGAACATAAATCTGAATTACATATAATTTTCACATGTCAAAATAATATTCTGTAGATTTTTTCCAGCCATTTAAAAATGTAAAACCCTTCTTGGCTTATGAGTCATACAAAACCATGCAGAGAGCTAGATTTGGTTTGTGGATAGTAGCGTGCTGACCCCTGTCTTAAGCTATTAGTTAAAAAATTATTTTTCAATTTTTATTGTTTTCTGTTTTATTGAGGTAAAAATTTAGTAAAATGCATAAGATACAGGTGTATACTTAAATGAATTTTACATACGTAAACACCTGTGTAACCACTCCCCATAGTAAGATAAAGACATTCGCTAGTGCTTTGCTGGAGAAAAGGTGTACCTGTGTTGGCATCTAGTCAATATCCACCGCTACCCCCAAAGCTAGTCACTATTTGGACTCTGTCAGTTTTACCTGTATCTGAACTTGATTTAAATTATCGTATTACACCATTGTTCCTCCTCTATTATCTTTTTGGTCATGATTTCTTATCCTTTTTGTGATTCTAATTATCCATCCTTAACTTTTTACTGTTTACCTTAAATTGGTACTTTCACCACTTGTTAAAAATGTAAGAACTGTATGATAATTTAATTCTATTTTCCCACCTTACCTTTTGTGTACTGTTATATTTCTATTCCTACCTGTATTTTAAAATCCTTTAAGCTACTGCCAATTGGTTTAAATGGTCCAATGATTTTATATTAGGCATACATTACCCTTGTTGGTGTTTATTTCTTCCTGTAGCTCTGTTCTCCTATGTGTTATTAAACAATATAACTTAGAAAACAATTTTTTAAGATTATGGTAAAATACATGACAGAATTTATCATCTTAAAATTAAAAAAAAAAAAAAAGGCCAGGCACAGTGGCTCAAGCCTGCAATCCCAGCACTTTGGGAGGCCGAGGTGGGCAGATCACGAGGTCAGGAGATCGAGACCATCCTGGCCAACATGGTGAAACCTCGTCTCTACTAAAATACAAAAAATTAGCCAGGCGTGGTAGCGCGCACCTGTAGTCCCAGTTACTTGGGAGGCTGAGGCAATCGCTTGAACCTGGAAGGCGGAGGTTGCAGTGAGCCGAGATAGCGCCACTGCACTCCAGCCTGGCGACAGAGCAAGACTTCATCTCAAAAATAAATAAATGCATAAATAAATATTAAACTAAAAAAATTACTGTCTTAACCATGTTTAAGTGTATGCTTGAGTAGTGTTAAGGTTGTTCACACAGTTGTACGACCACTACTTCTATCCCTCTCCAGAAATTTGTCATCTTGCAAAATGGAAACTCTATCTGCATTAAAGAACCTGTTTCTTCCTTCCCCCAACCCTGGCAACCACCACGGTACTTTCTCTATGAATCTGACTGCTCTGGATACTTCATATAAGTGGAATCATACATATTTGTCCTTTTGTGTCTCACTTATTTTACTCCGTGTAACATCCTCAAGCTTGATCCACCTTGCAGCATGTATCAGAATGCCCTTCGTTTTTGAGGGTGAATAATATTCCATTGTATGTATATAGCATGTTTTGTTTATGCCTGCATCAGTCAATGCACACTTGGGTTGCTTTCACCTTTTGGCTACTGCAAATAATGCTAAACAACATGACTTTTAAAAAACCCTGTCAAACTGCTTCTATGTGGTTCTTTCAAAAACCAAAAGTGCTATGTAAACTGAAAAGCTGCTTCCTACATACACTGAGAGATTAGCGAAAATGCTAATTACCAAAATAATAACACTTGTACCTGCTATGATATTTACCAAAACCAGAAACGGCAAGTGACCCACATATATTTTTGTTTGGCCTGCAAACTTTTATAAAGACAAACAAAACACAACAAAACAAAACAATTTGCCACCAAAATTGTAGATGGTAGCTTTCTCTAAAGCTCTCAATCTCTTGCTTATCTGAAAACTCACAATAATGGCAAAACTAGGCTCACCTTCCAGCAGGGCACCTTTCAGCTGGGACTGAGTGTCTATCACCCCCTTTAGCTGGCCACATGGTCTCTGATTTCCCACTGGCGGTGCTCCCCTCATGTGTACATGCCCCCTGCCTGGCCCCATGGGCGCTGGAGTTTGCAACCTTGACCTGATGATATATCCATTTTGCATAGTTGGAAAGTCAAATGTGTGTAGAGACAAATGTGAGGAACAGACCCATCTAAATAAAATAACCCTTTAGGTCCCAGGTCAAATAAGGCAGCAAAGAAAGCAAATAACAGGGGTCTCACCCAGCCTAAATATAGCCTTCCATGATCACTGAGCTGCTCAAAGATCAATACTGTATGCTTCAGACAGGCGTGCATGCCTCCCCTAGTTGAGACAGGAAAAAAGGTTCCCAGGAGGAACTACTTTACCTGCCCTTTTAAAGGGGCTCTACTTAAGGCCAACAAATGGAACAGCCACTCCATCAGCATGTGGCTTTCCACTGGTCTTGAACAGTCTCCACTGGCGTCAATATCCACTGGGGTCAGTGACAGCCCTGGTGACTAGAAGCTTCTACAGGACCTTTCATATCAGGAGTTTAGTGTAACCTAGGGTCCATGGGCCTAATGGGATTTTTCTAAGCTCTCACTGCTAATGGTGCCCTTTTTTCCACTATGCATGTAGGCAGCCAATATCAACTGCATTCACAGAACCTGCAGCTTTGTCTCTGACTGAAATCTCAGATATTTTCATACTACCTTAGAGTTGTTGTAGCTATTTTGGAATATCATTGATGTTCATCACTACTCAGAAATCACTGGAGCTAACAGACCAACCACTTGTCATTTAATACCTTAATTTTAAAAAGCACACATATTATTATATCCCGAATGTGTTTAAAATATTTTGACAACTGTATTGAATATAATTGGTTCCTTTCCTATGTATTGCACTTATTTATCTAAAACCATTCTGGGAGAGAATCCATGGGCTTTGCCACGGATGGGTCTGTGGCTCAAAGAAGCAGCTTCTAAATCCCCATTTTCCATGACTGTTGAGAACTGCAAAAAGGCTTTGAATATCTAATCAATATTTTCATCATTTTGTTGAAGACTGTGGGTGTTTGGTAATTTTTACTCTTTGAGGTAGGCCATTGCTGTGTGTTAGTGATTGGGCTTTGCGATAAGAAAACCCAACTCAGCAGCAGAGATTTTCTGAAGTCACCTGTACCCAAGCCATCATTTCCCTGGTTGTAAAATAACCCCTACTGCACCAGCTGCCATAAAGTGAGGTTCAGATGAAATAACTTATGTAAAAATGCTCTGTCGCTGTGAACCATTCTACAAATATTGCTTGCTATTATTATTGCTATATCTTCCACAGTAAGGTAAACATATTTATTATAATGTTACATATAACCTAAATAGTGTTATATTTACTATAATATGGTAAATATTCCATGTGGCTTCCTAATGCTCCCAAGCCAGATTAAATTTATTATTGAGAAACCTAATTATTCTGAAAAAGGAGGTATCTTTTTTCTTTCCATTTTAAAACTTGCCCCCTTATCAACATAGAGGGATAAACACAAATCTATGTAATGAGTAAACTCATGTCCACCTCTGAGCAAAGAAAGACTATAGACAAGGAGACACTGGCCATTTTCAGCAAGTCACTGTGATCAGACATTTAAACTATTCCATGCTTTGAACTTACTAGCTGACAGGGCCTTTTTGAATTACATTATATTATAAACATTTAATTTTTCAAAGTCCATGCAGAAGCCAGGGAGCTCTGGGGCCTATTAATCAGGTAAGGCAGTTCTGCAGATTCTAGGCTCTTGGAAGGAGCACATGGGAGGCCTCATCATGATTTATGTGTCCGAAGTTCCAGGGCCCCGGCCTCAGCAAGCTCCCAGTCTGGCTTCTTTCTTTCTCCCCTGGGCCAGCACAGACCTGGCCTTGGCCTGCAGTCCTTCCTCAACACAGGGAAAGAGACCAATATGTTCATGGTAAAGGTAGACACAGGGAGCAGGATTTATTTATGAAAAAAATGCAGCTATGCTCATTTCCATTAGTTTAAATGGAAGGATGAGATCAATGTGAACATTAGCAAAGAATATTTAAATACTAAATGGAAAATGTTCAAGCCAGAAGGGACCCTTGGAGGAAATCTAGGCTGGAGGGCTTCTAATCCTAGGTTTATTATTTATTATTTTTATACACTAATACTAAGGGGGAGATTTATACATGGTGCCAGTAACTAGCACTATGTGAATGAGTTAACATGCATTACCCCGCATCATTCTACAAAGACCCTGTGGGGTAGGTACTACAGATACTGCCACTTTTTGGATTGGGAAACTATAGGTTCAAGCAGTTAAGAAACATCCTCAAAGTTGCACAGCTTCTAAGAGGCAGCCAGGACTCAGACCAGAGGTCCTTACTCCAGAACCCCTTACAGTGCCTGGCAGTTCCCAGGGCCATCAGGGTCAACTTGTGAAAGCTCAGATTCCTGGATAACGGCCCCCGCCCCAGGAAGATTCTGATGCACTTGGTCTGGGAGGGGCCCATGAATGTGCACTTCTCAAATGAGGCTTCCAGGAGATCTTGCTGCTGCTGCTAGTCCACAACTCACATGCCTTACTGGGCCCCCAAAGTTGTATGCAAAATTTTGGCACTTCGTAGGGAAAATGTCCAAACCTTCATCAGATCCATAATTCAAAAAGGGTTCACCACTGGCCTGGTTAACCTGGTGTGGGTTTCTTATTTGATAGACACCTGAGAAGTCAAGGACATGATTCAAGAGGACCTCAGGCTGGCAGAGCAGAGTCCAGCACCCCGGTCCCTCCTTCCATGCTGGTCTTAAGGCCTGTCATCAAACCAAATCAGCAAACTACAGCCCATGGCTATAGCCTGTAACTGCCTAAATAATACTGGAACCAGGACTGGGATTAGGTTGGGGCAAGTAGGAGATAGTATATCCTATCTATCTCTACTTAAAATTCAGATATTTTATTCATGAGATTTTTACATTAATTTTGCTTTTATTTTTATTTTTGTTTTTATTTTATTTTATTTTCATTTTTTCGAGATGGAGTTTCACTCTTGTTGCCCAGCCTGGAGTACAGTGGCGCGATCTCAGCTCACTGCAATCTCCGCCTGCCAGGTTCAAGCGATTCTCCTGCCTCAGCCATCCGAGTAGCTGGGATTATAGGTGTCCACCACCACGTCCAGCTAATTTTTGTTTTTTTTTTAGTAGAGACGGGGTTTTCACCATGTTGGCCAGGCTGGTCTCGAACTCATGACCTCGTGATCCACCCGCCTCAGCCTCCCAAAGTGCTGGGATAACAGGCGTGAGCCACCGCATCTGGCCTAATTTTCTTTTAAAAAACATCCCATTAAAATGTTATGTCTCTTGATCACTCAATTTTTTGATGCCCCTTAAAATTTTGAGCGAAGGCAAACGTCCCACTTGCTTTACCCTAGTTCTGACCCTGGACCTTTCTATTAGTCCCTAAATCATCAGGACCATCTATCTAGATCCAGGAATCTCAAGGATCCTGCATGCAGGGGTTTGTTTGTGTGGCTTGCAAGTCAGAAGGGTGAGCTGTTTTGGGCTGTAGTTTTTGAGAGAACAGCTAACTGAATCACATTAGAAAGACAAAGAGGATATTCGACGGTACAACTTGGAGGTGATTTTGTGATCTGTCACGGCGCTGGGCAGTGACTGAGAGAAAGGCCCGAGTACTTGGTTCCCCACAGTTGGAAAATAATAAAACAAACAATCAAAAATGCTTTGTTTTTTCTCCCCTCTTCTGCCTATAAAACCTCCAGCCTAAAAGACCTAAATTACTAGGGCTTCCCGCATAGACTTTAAAACTCTACACTGATTCTTTAGCCAGACTTGTATTCTTCCCCAGCACCTGAGCAGGAAGAAGCAGAAAGCATCGGGAGGGAGTCTCAGGAGCGCCCCTGGTCACAGGAGGGGAAGCCAGCCTCACCTTGAAACAGCATCGTCTGGCTGAAGTCGCTGCGCATGTCGTTCCGACACACGGCCTGGACTCGGAACAGGTAAAGGCTATCGGGTGAGACATGGCTAATGGTGGCTTTCTGTAGGTAAAGAAGGAAAAGGCAGTGAGTTAGTTTTGAAGGCCAGGGCACACTTTGCATTCTAAAGCCAAACCTGAGTGCCCTGGCAAAGCCTGACAGATGTGATGCTTCCCTGCTGACCAAAGGCTCACTTTGGAAGGAAAGACTGTTTGGACCCTGCCTGGGAATCTTTTTATGAACTTCCTTGGGTACTGTTTTCCACACTGAAATGTGCAGGACACAGGAAAGAGTAACATTATTCTTTTTTTTTTCCTTTTTTTTTTGAGATGAAGTCCCGCTCTGTCACCTAGGCTGGAGTTCAATGGTGAAATCTCAGCTCACTGCAACTTCCGTCTCCCAGGTTCAAGTGATTCTCCTGCCTCAGCCTCCCAAGTAGCTGGGATTATAGGAGCCCGCCACCAAGCCCAGCTAATTTTTGTATTTTTAGTAGAGACAGTGTTTTGCCATGTTGGCCAGGCTGGTCTCGAACTCCTGACCTCAGATCATCTGCCCACCTCAGCCTCCCAAAGTGCTGAGATTACAGGCGTGAGCCACCCTGCCCGCCCATGTCTGTTTCTTTACAGTTTAAAGGCCTCACTGTCTTTGTATTATGCAGAGTACAGGGCATATTGCAAGGAAGAACACCAGGCTAGAAGGCAGAGGACATGGCCTCCTCATACCACTCGCAAGCTGTGGGGTTCTGAGCCAGTTCTTTCAGCCTCTACTGTTTCTATAAAATGGGGAGAGGAAGAGCTACTTCATAGGTTCTTCTGAGAAGTATGTAACATAGGCCCAGCAAACCTTGCTCAGAGGTAGAACACACCAAGCAACAGAAAGAATGCCACCTGGCTAACACAGGGGTGTTGGCAAGCTGTGGCCCACTGTCTGTTTTTATAAATAAAGTTTTATTGGCAAACAGCCATGGCCATTTGTTTATGTAGGTCTATGGCTGCCTTCACTCTACAGTGGCAGAGTTGAGTAGTTATGCCAGAGCCTGCATGACCTATAAAGCCTCAGGTATTCACAATCTGGCCCTTTCCAGAAAAAAAGTTTGCCAACCTCTGGTCAAACATCAGCCAAATCCAGGTCCCTCTTCCTCACAGTTTCATTCTGACAACCTTTAAAAATGAGAAAATGTAAACTACCCAAAAAGCAGGCAGTACTTACCTCCTAAAGAAACAAACAAGAAAAGCAACTGATTTTCAAAGACTCTTCCTAATAGATGAGTTGTCGTATCATCAAAGCATGTATTCTGAGCCAAGTATAGAAGCAGCTCTGTGAGCTTAACCACCGAGTGGGAGTGGGTTTTCCCAACGCAGCTACTGAAAACCTCTGAACTGGTATTAACATGTTATTGTGGCCATACCTGCTGATGTTGCCTTGAAAGCAGCTTCCTAGTGAGAGGGGTAGGCTAGGGCCGTGGTATTTAACTTTACGCCTCATTTGTCTCGTTTGGAAAAGGTAGGCAGTAACACCTGCCCACAGGTTTGTGGTGAAGACGTGGAAGGCGGATGCCCACTAGAAAATGCTGCTCAAATGATATGCATTACTTTCAGGTTTCTGGGCCACAATAACCATGAGTTAGAGAATAGATTTGTTGTCACTAAGTCAGCACTCTTCACTCGTTGAGGAATTAGAAAAATTAATTTTGTGTGTCCCCAAAGAAAATAACTAGCCCTAGAAATTCTTGTAAGAAAGAAGTTGCTGTCAATGCATGTTTTTCTCTACATCTCTCTCTTTCTCTGAAACTAATTTATGTTTCATTCTCTAAACCTCTGACCCCATCTTCTGTTCAGAGCGAAATCTTCACTCCATCTATGCAGGGATTTATTAGAATTCACTCCAAGACGGTATCTATTCATCTTTGCATGTTTAATTATTTTCCACTTAGAACAAGAAACTGCATAAGTGCCTAGATGGTTTCTGCTGATTAATGCAAGCCATCCTCACTTCAGAAAGAGAAAAATCCCTTATGGACTTCCAGTTGTGACAAGAGAAAGGTTAAAATACATCATAACCTTGGGTGCCTTTCAATAGATTCCTCTCTGATTTCACGAAGCTCATCATTCCCTAATGTGACCCAGATAACAATGTCTAGTGGGGAAATTGAAAATATAAATGGAAATGAAGTAAAAGAATCTTCATCTAAAGAACTATGAAAAGTATTATTCTATAACTGATTGAATGGGCCCGGAGGACTCTGTATAGGGAGGAAAAAAGTGATAACAGCCATTAAGAATCCCACTTGGTGCTACTGCATTTTTCATGTGCATGTACAATTACGGGTTTCATTACTCCACAGCCTTCCTTTGATTAACAATAAACACAAGGCTTTCAAACCAAATATGTCACTCTGAGTTTTTAGGCAAAGACTTAAAGACAGTAGTTGTGGAGAGTTTGCTTGCATAGGGAAGGAGATGGCTTCTGCTAACATCTGTTCTGAAGGGCCTTGTGTGTTGGACACTAAACATTTAGGTAAATTTTAAGAGGAGATGTTGAATTTGGCACGTGTAGCTCAAAGTGAGGTCGGATAGTATAGTATTTGAGTATCTGAGAAAAGAGAGAAAATATTACACAACTGCAGGGGTTTGGCAGGTATTGCAAATATGTAAGGCAGAACAACTGTGACAAAGGGAAGTGGCAGCAACTGTGGACAGTGGTGGTGGTGACGTGAGCAGCAGTAGCTTTAGTAGGGGAAGAGGAACAGGAGAATGATTGTAATAAATAATAGCTAATATTGATATAGTTATATAGGACTTGTTGAATACTTGTATAGCTCATTTAGTATTTATGATAATCCCATTGATAATCCCATCAGATGAAAAGGGCCTAATTGAGGCTGTTTGTTAACAATGAAAGGAAAAGCAGTCAAATTTTAAAGGACCCAATCTAAAGAAATGAACTGGCTCTCCAGGTTGCGTAGCTGTTAAGTGTGAGGTTGGGATGGCACCCAGGCAGGCTCCGTCTGCTGTCCTCCCTGGCACTCTCGAGCAGTGCAATGGCAGTGCCCATGTTCACCAGACAGTGTAAGGACAGATGACACAGAGCTGGCACACTGTGCAGTGCCTGGCAGAGAGATGCAGCAGGAGTCTCTCTCTGCAGCATGTACCCCGAATCAGAGCAGGGGCTTCATACCAAGTCTTTGTCGCTGTCCTTTGTAAATGTCTTCTCCTTCTCATCCTCATTCTTGGTCCAGCTGTAGGAGATCATATAGTTCATGATGGGTGGGTGGTAGATGGTCTCCGGCTGGCTCCAGGACACCTGCAGTGCCGTCTGGTTCAGAGGCTGCACCTTCATGTGGATGGGTGGAGAGCTGCAAACTAAAGATACACAGGGCTCAGCTCAGGAAGCTTTCAGAACAATGTGCCATTCAATCCGTGTCCCTAAGGACTGCAGCCTCAAAAAGTTGAAAGAGTAATACAGGAAGCATCCATGCTCCCTTCTCCTGGGTCCTCTTAACACTGTGTGTGTAGAAAGAGGGGGAGAACATTGTACACACACACACACACACATGCATGGGACACAGATGCACACACACACGTGCACGGAATACAGATGCACACACACACATGCATGGGACACAGATGCACACACACACGTGCACACACACACGTGCATCACGGAATACAGATGCACACACACATGCATGGGACACAGATGCACACACACACGTGCACGGGACACAGATGCACAAGCGCACACACACAGAGCTGTTTTTCTGCTAGGTCATTAACACTGCAACATTCTGACGCTTGTACCCTAGATACTCTGTCCTGCATCTCCCAAGATTGGGGACACTTTCCTAGGTAACCATAATACCAGTTTCATATCAAAGAAACTAAACATGAATTCAATACTATTATCTCATATATAGTCCATATTCAAAATTTCTCCAGCTGTCTCCAAAAGATCCTTAATCACTGTGTCCCCTTCAGCCTCATGGTCATCAGCCTTTTTTTTCATGATGGCCATTTTGAAGAAGCCAGGCCGTTGGACTGGTGGAGTGTGCTAACTAAAACTGTAGACAAAATCTTATTGTAAACAGGTCCGAGTGTAATTAAATAAATTTATAATAAGACTTTAAGTAATTTTAAAGCAAAGTCACATAACACAAGGATGACTTTCTCTGGAACAGCAGAACCCCGTGTAATTATCCTGACGTGGGGTGTAAGGAAGTCAGGCTAATTCATCTTATTCCTTGGGGCTGAGAGGTTTAAGGGACACGGTGGATCTAAATCTGTTTACAGACAAACCTATGAAAGTGTTGAGACCTTGACAAGTCTTAAATGAGTTATACAAATGCTCAACAGGTCCGATCTAGTCAGCTGGAAACGTGTGCTTTCTCAGAGGTGTCCAGGCCCCTGTGGCCGTGTTCCCTGCCTTGATGGAGCTGATGGTCCAGGGCAGGGGTTCTCACCCTCAGCACCCATGACCTCTTGAGCCAGACAATGCCTTGCTCGTGGTGGCTGTCCTGTGCCCTGTGTAGCAGTATCCCTGGCCTCCACCTGCTAGATGCCAGTAGCCCTGCTCCCCGTCCTCAACTTGTGACAACCAAAAATGTCTCCAGGTATTGCCAAAGGTTGCTTGCGGGGGCCAATCACCTTCAGCTGAGAAGCTGCACTGTAAGAGATGGAGGCTCACCAAAAAATCCCGCGCGCAGAGCCAATACTGCACTCCAGGAAAAGATGGAGGGAGATGAGGAAGAGGAAGAGGTGGCTCAGGCTTTGGCACCCAGGGAAGATGCCCTTGCGGAAGGTTCACGTAACTGAGAGCTGAGAGCTTATGGAGATGAAGGGGCTGGGAGCTGTAAAGGGACCTGGCATGAAGGTCTGAGGGGCTGGAGCAAGGCACGGAGAAGACAGGCAGGCAGGGCACAGGTGTAGCTGTAGTGAGAAGCCTCGGAGCCAGATTCGAGCTCTGGCCTTTCTCCCACGAGTCCTTGGATGCCCCTGGAAAGAACTGAGCCCCAGAATGATGCAATCAGGTTGATGCTTCACAAAGATCCCCTGAGCTTTGGCTGAGTGGAGAAGTCCCCAGAGAAGCCAAGTGTGGAGGAGGGGGCCTGTGAGGGAGGGGCTGCAATGGCCAATTGCTGGAAGACCAGGGAGGAATGGCCGGTTCTAGAGCTTACAGTTAGGAGGTAAAATGCAGAGGCCTGGTGATGTGCCGGGTAAGGAGGGCAGGGGAGAGGGAGAGGCAGTGAGGAGGACCTTCTGGTTTGGGTGCAGGAACCAGGTAAGAAGTAGGTGGGCGTGCTGGCAGAGACAGGCCAGGGGACCACAGCTTGGTTCTGACCCACTGGCATCTTCCAAAGACCACCTACACACATGCCCTGTAGCCCACCAGGAGCCAGACTCCCGTATTTTCTACCCAAGAGCCCCAATCCCAAGGTAGCCCTGGGGAACAGGATGGCTTTCCTGCCAGAGACGCACGGCCCAGCTTTGAGGACCTGGCTGGTGGAGAAAAGTAGATTGGTTTTGACAGGAACCTTTTGTTCTTCAACTGCCAAAGGTGAGGTTCGCTTTGTGCGACAGAGACAGGAAGGAAGGAAGGAGGGAGGGAATAAATTAGTGAGGCATTCCCACTGCCCCGCAGAACCCCTGGGAGGCATCAGGCTGTCCGTTGCGCAAATGCCACCAGAGCAGGGACATCAAACAAAGAATCTGAAGGGAGGCTTCCACGGAGACGTGAGGGCGGAGTGACAGAACGTGGGCACTAGGTGGCGCCAACCTACTGTTTTTAAATACTCCAGCTTCTAAGCGGCTTCATAGTTTTTCAAGACAGAACATGGAGGAGGCGGGGGAAAGATCAGGAAATAGCTACACCCCCAGTGTTCCAAATACTAATAACGAACCGAGATGTACATATTGGGAAACTTCTATATCCCATAATGATGACCATGTCAGATTTCCTAACTTCTCTATCTTTTCTCACCTCCTACCATGTTCTTATTTATCTTCCTTATTCTGCAACCATTCATTCCCCTGCTCCAAATAGCAATGAATGCTGTACAGGGAAGCATCCCTCTCTGGCAGTTACATCATACCCCCATAAATAATTCTGTCACCCACATACAGATGCAACCATTCTTCTTATTTTTTGAAATTAAAATAGATGGGTTTTTCTGTGTGCATTAAGATGATTCATGTTAATATTTTTTAAAAAGGAACCCAAGTAGTACAAAAAAGTAAAAAGAAAGTTAAAAGAAAAAAATTCACCCCAAATCTCAGTGCCCAAAGAAAACGACTGTGAACATTCTGGGACTCCAACATGCAGTTATCGCTTTATATACATGTGAAAGTACATACGCACAATTTGATGGAAATAGAATAGGATGTGGATGGCACTAGAATGGAATGTTTGGTTTTGAGGTGGTGTCTCACTCTGTCACCCAGGCCGGAGTGCAGTGGCTGGATCATGGCTCACTGCAGCTTCAACCTCACGAGCTCAAGTGATCCTCCCACCTCAGCCTCCTAAGTAGCTAGGACTACAGGTTCGTACCACCACACTTGGCTAATTTTAAATTTTTAAAATAGAGACAGGGTCTCACTATGTTGCCCATGCTGGTCTTGAACTTCTGGGCTCAAGTGATCCTCCTCCTTTGGCCTCCCAAAGTACTCGAATTACAGACATGAGCCACCATGCCTGGCCCTAGAATTTTTTGTTGTTGTGTTTTACTCAACAACTCATGGACATATTTCCTCATCAATAAGTAGAGCTTAGTGTCATTGTCTTGAATGATGGTACAGAATCTCACTGTCTCAATGTATTAAAAAAATACTGAGTTAAACTCTCAAAGGAGGTAGATCTGGCCTCACTCTAACGGGATCACCCACCAGGAAGGGAATTCTGTAACTTAACGGCCTCCTAAGATCCATGCTTGTCCCTGATCACACATCAGAGGAGGACCATGAGGCCAGGGCTTTGCAGGCTGAGGAGCTATAGGAAGAGCAGTCTGATGAGAGGTGTCTTTTCTGCTCTCTACTCGCCATCCTGGGTAGTGGTTTTTTCTAGGTATACTGGGCCAAATTTGGAGGAGGCATTTGCCGAGTACTAGAAGGGCCTAGAATAGAGGATGGCAAACTTTTTTCTGTAAAGTGCCAGAGAGTAAATATTTTCGGCTTTGCAGGTCACATGGTCTCTCGTAGCCACTACTGATTCTGCCTTTGAAGCACAAAGCAGCACAGGTAATATGTAAACACGAATGAGTGTGGCTGTGCTCCAACAAAACTTTATCTATGGACACAAGTTCAACTTCATAGGATTTTCATGTGTTGCAAAATATTCTTTTGATTTTTTTCCAACTATTTAAAAATATAGAAACCATTCTTAGCTCATGGCTACACAAAAGGTGGTGGGGAGTAAGTTTAGGCCTGTGGATCAGTGCTGATCCTGGACTGAGACGGTAAGGAGAGGCCAAGCCCTTTTTTGAAACACAATTATCAGCTGCACTGTATTCTTGGCACTGAATTCTGTCCCTCAGCACAGGCTGACAGGCCTGCTCCTTCACAGAGCTTAGATTCTTCCCAGCACTTACTAGTACGTGGAGTTGTATTATTGACTTCATTGGCGATCTGTAATTATCTATCTCCCCCACTAGATGGAAGCTCCACAAGGCTGGCGCCTTTTCTGTCTTGTCTGGTTAATTACCTTGCATCTAAGACAGTGCCTGGCACGTAGAGGGCTCTCAATCAATATTTGCTGAATGAACAAAAAGTTGGTTGTACATGGAATAACATTCTTAGTCTTTCCCCTGGTCCATAGGTCCTGTGTGACATGATCCCCTTCCACATCGTCAACCTCATGGCTTGCCATCTTCCTCCTCATGGACTCATCTCTGGCCAGCCCCCACCCCAGTACTCTTAAAGATCTGGCTTCAAGGCTGGGCATGGTGGCTCACGCCTGTAATCCTAACATTTTGGGAGGCCACGATGGGTGCATCACTTGAGGCCAGGAGTTCGAGAGCAACCTGGATAACATGGCGAAACCCCGGCTCTACAAAAAGTAGAAAAATTAGCCAGGTCTGGTGGCGCACACCTATAGTCCCAGCTACTCAGGAGGCTAAGGTTGGAAGATCACCTTAACCCAGAAAGCGGAGGTTGCCGTGAGCTTTGATCATGCCACTGTGCTTCCAGCCTGGGTGACCGAGTAAGACCCTATCTCAAAAAAATTAAAAAAGGGAAAAGAAAGAATTCCAGCTTCAACACCCTGCTTCCCCTTTGAGGTCAATGGGCCACCCGTGTCCTCCTGTACTCTCACTGCTTCCCTCCTCACGGGGCCCATCACCCTATGCCCTCACCACCTGCCTGCCTCTGTGTCC